TTGGGTATAAGGTTATTTTTTTACCCGGGTGATTCAGTTATATCTTGGGTAGAGAAATTACAACTATTTCTTATAAATGAGACATTATTCTTGGGAAAATACCGATTTGACATAAAGGTTTTTAGAGTAGGTACTTCAATTAGACTATTATTTCATGCTTAACACCAAAAACTCTACCCGTTAAAAAGTACCTTTTACCCGGGTAATATTCAACGGGTTGGGTTGGGTTGGGTACTCAGATCTGACAGGTTGGGTGGGCCGGGTCGAGGCCCTTTCTCTACCCGGGTATACCCATTGCGGGGCCTGCGCGCGCGTGAGACAGATCTATACTGGCCGTACGGCCTGGCACGGAAAGCAACCCGGGGAAAACAGAACCCCCGTGGAACGTATCCGGGTAATAGCCATTGATGCACTCCCGATGCATATACTCAACCCCCCCGACTAGTCTGTCCAAACTACGCAGAGAGGCAGTACGCTCTGCCCCGCTGTTTGGGGAAATGCCAATGCTAAGCGATAATTCTGTAGCTTTTAAACTTGTAATATTGTAAACCGGATTCCGCTCGCTGAGTGACTGATGATGCCACTAAGACGAAGCAGAATCCTACCCTATTTATACATGTTGGAACCTATGCCAAGGCTCGCTTTCTAATACTACTAATACCACGATAATAGAATAAGACAATCAACCTGAAGATAGCCCCGATAGAAAAGCGCACCCGCACAGTCCCGTTCCTCCATTCTAATTCTAACACGTAACCATGAACCCTGCAATTGCCAGTAACCGAGCTGTATCATACCATTGTCCTAGAGCTACTTCCTTAAGTAGAATGGCCTGCAGCCATTAACCCCGCTTCTATTCCGTTCCGGGTGAGACACCCAATAGTAAGCGTGTTCTCACAATAGCCTAATACTGGTGTTGTTGCACCCGGTGCTCCCACACCCCTCGGTACCTTTCTATGCTTGTTCTTCCGCTACCCGACCATACCCGCATCACCACCCCTCACTCACTATTCTTCCTGTTTCCTCGACTTAGGGCAGTGCTCGTAATTCCTGTAACACTACTCCCCCTTCCTAGACGTCGCCCTCGACCGTTAAAACCTCTCTATGATAAAAACCCTGTGGGAAAAGTCATAGAGTAGGAAAGGTATCGAGCTAGTCTTTCCCAGTCCGTTGTCGCTTCGGAGGTCGTCTCGAGTCGGTGACTGGCCCTTGACTCCGCGTATGGGGTCGGGTACTCGTACTTGGTTTGAAGTTCTCATCTAAGAGCGCTTCTTGAGGATCGGGTGTTGCGAGTCGTTTCCGTGTATTCTGTTGTCTACCTGGATTTTGGTCCTCTCGATAAGGTCGTAGCAGCATCTCGTGGAATACGTCGTGAACCTTCCATTCTACCGGAAGGTTCAACCGATAAGCCCTATTTCCTACAGCTGCGGCAACTTCGAAGGGTCCAGTGAACTTGTCCGACCACTTGTCGTATCCCCCGAGGTTCCGAGTATCCAACAAGACCTTTTGACCGATTGTGAACCGCTGAACAGCTGGCCCTGGTCTTGACGCCATTCTGTCAAAGGTCTTCTGCAGCGTTTCTCTCGCTGACTCGTGAGCTTGAAGAAGGTCGTCCAAGTAGTTGTTTCCATTGACGTCCAGCCGACCGATATCCACATCTGTTGGCCAATCCGTTCGTGGGTGGAAACCGTAGTTACTATAGAACGGCGATTGTCCTGTAGACGAGTGTTTCGCATTGTTATAGGCATACTCGCAGATTGGTAGCAGGTCCTTCCATTTCTTCCCGGTACCTGCAGTGTAGGCTCGAAGGTAGGATTCGAGGTGCTGGTTGGTTTTTTCCGTTTGACCATCTGTCTGCGGGTGGAACGAGGTTGAGAGTCTTCTACGAATCCCAAATCGTTCTGTAACCGCCGTCCAGAATGCTGATACGAACTGTGTTCCCCTGTCAGAGACAATGCTCCTGGGAAGTCCGTGAAAACGCCAGATATCTTTGACGAATGCATTAGCGGTCTGTTCCGCATTGATTCCCGTCATTGGAATGAAGTGAGCCATTTTCGTAAAACGGTCCACGACTACCAATACGTTACGGAATCCTGATTTCTCTTTTGGCATTTCTACCACGAAATCCATTGAGATATCAGTCCAAGGGGTGGTGGCTAACTCTAGGGGTTGAGGGAGTGATAAGTGTCTCCGACGCTGCTTGGCTCTCTGGCATACATCGCAAGTCTTAACAAAGTTGGCTACATCCGTGGACATTCCTGGCCACCAGTAGTTCCTATCGATCAACTCAAGGGTTTTATCCCTTCCTAGATGCCCCGCTACGGGTCTGTCATGATGATCCTCAATGACTTGCTTGACCGCGTATCCTGGCACTACCCAACGACCATCGTGGGTGGCCTCATTCGATCCCGGCGTCCATTCAGTAGTAAGCTCTGCTGTTACGGCAGCAGCTTCCTCTGACCCGAAGACTTCAAGGTTTGTATCAGGGAGAGGTTCATCCCGGAACACTCTCCGAACCCATTGTCTGTCCTGTTCATACCAGTCTTGTAGTAGCTGAGGCAGCTCTACACCTGGTATGTCGTACCACTGATCCAACGGAGTCCATCCTTCCTCGGGGTTGCCGATAATTTCAGGTCCAGTTTCTACACTGGTCCGTGATTTTCTGACAAACTGTTCTGCGCTGAGCAACTGTTTTACGGGTTGTTCACGCATCACTCCCCCTTCCATAGCGAACTCTGGGCGCCTTGTGAGTGCATCTGGCTTGCCGTTCTTTTCGCCTGGGCGGTAATGGATCCTGAAGCGAAAAGGTGCTATCTTTTCGGCCCATCTGGCTTGTCTTCTCGACAACTTCTTGGTCGTTGTGAAATACTGTAGGTTCTGATGATCCGAATGTATCTGGATAGGAATGTCCGTTCCTTCCAGCCAATGTCTCCAAGTCAAGAGAGCAGAAACTATAGCGAGCATCTCCTTGTCATAGATCTCGTAGTTAACCTCTGCCTCGTTGAACTTACGAGAGTGGTAAGCTACCGGGTGTAGAATACCGTCCTCGAACACCTGAGAGAGTACTGCAGCCTCGGCCCAGTCACTCGCATCAGTTTCTATGATTGCTTCACGGTGTTCGTCATAGTGTCGTAGTATTGGGTCAGATGTGAATCTCTTCTTGAGTTCATCAAAAGCACTTTGCTGTTCCCTGCTCCATCGCCATACGGAACCCTTCTTCAAGAGGTCGGTCATTGGTCGACAAATTTCGGAGTACCTGTGGATAAACCGTCGTAGGAAATTGGCGAACCCGAGGAAACATTGAAGTTCCTTAACCTTGGTGGGTGCCAACCATTCTGTGATTGCTTTCACCTTTTTAGGTGAGACCTGGTTTCCTTCTCCTGATAGTACAAATCCCAGGAATTCTAGCTCCTGTTTGTACCATTCCGTTTTCTCGAGGTTCCCGTATAGGTGGTTTTGTTGCAGTCGCTCCAATACTTTTCGCACAAGAGTCGTATGCTCTTCTCTAGCCTTTGAATATATTAGGATATCATCCAAGTAGACTACTACGCCTTGATCCAAGAGATCCTTGAATATGGTATTAACCATGACCTGGAACGACGCTGGTGCATTGGTTAAGCCAAAAGGCATTACCCTATATTCGAAGTGGCCGTATTTCGTTCTGAAAGCTGTTTTCCATTCCTCGCCAGCAGCGATTCTAATCAAATTGTAGCCATTCTTCAGGTCTAATTTGGTGAAGAACTCTGCTCCTTTCGTCGCATCGGCCAATTCTGTCATAAGTGGGAGAGGATAGCGATTCTTGACTGTGATAGCGTTTAAGCCACGAAAGTCTACGCATAACCTTAATTTCCCGTTGGCCTTGCGAACGAACAGAATGGGTGCTGCTGCCGGGCTAGTGGAGGGGACTATTTTGCCAGAGGCTAGCATTTCGTCCAAGTACTCCCGGAGTGCCTTCTGTTCCACTGGGGAGAGTGCGTAGATCGGTCCCCATGGAGGCTGCTTTCCTTCCATAAGGGGAATGGTGTGGTCCCATTCAGAATGATCAGGTAGTTGATCGGCTCCCTCCTTGGAGAAGACGTTGACAAAGTCCTGATACTCCATTGGTATAGCATCAACGAGAGCCTCGTTTACCAATGCCCTTGCCCAGAAAGGGTGTTCCTCAATCATCATCTGTGTCTCGGTTGACGACCTCAACAGCCTGATGACGAGCTCCTCTGGGTCTTCTTCGTATGTATCATACATGGTCATGAAGCATCCCTTAATCTCACAATAGATGTTGTCGAAGGTGACCTTATTCTGACCCCAATGTATGGTAGGTTGATGGTCCTTAAGCCATCGATGTGGTATGACGAGGTCTTCTCCTGCAAACGAGCCAACCTCGCAGACGATGTCTCTGTCTAGATGGTTGCCGATGCGGAGGGTAAGAGATTCAGTGATGTGGGTTCCGGAGTTAGGCATAGGGGTACCATCGGCCTGTCTGATGATGAGAGGCTTAGGTCGAGGTTGGGTTGGGATCTTGAGACGATGGATACAGTTCCAGGGCATAACCCAGTCCTCTGTTCCGCTGTCTAGGAGTGCATTGACTATCTCTGCATGAAGGGTACTAGTTGCAGGGTGTGCCCAGGAGATCTCAATCTCGAGGCGGGTTTCTTGGTTTTGTGAGGACATATTCATATGTATAAAAGTGTAAGATAAAGGTATGTTGTTTTCAGATATAAGTGAGTTTGATGTGAATGGTTCTTGTTGTTGAGCGCGGGGCGAGGGAGTTTATATAGACAATTCAAGCGTCGATGAAGGCCATAGTACAACACTTATGCGTCAGGTGTTTCGGGGTGTGACCCCGCTTCTCAGAGTATGTGTAAAGAGAATTAAATTGCGCAAAATAACAACCGATAGAACATAACATAACCCGATCCCTTGTAAAAACCAAACAAAAAAAAAAAACCTCATAACACAACATAGAATAAACAACCGTAAAACATAGAAATACCCAATCAATTTTAGTTCTCCAAATTCGTAATCCTTGCCCTAAATGCCTCATTTTGTGGCCCCAATTTCCGTTTCTTATCACCTTCCCTTCCGTGGTCCTTTCTCCCGGAAGGAGGCTCTCTCCTCTTCAGGTTTGTTAACCTGACCTTGCTCGTCGCCACGCAATCCTTCACGAAGTGGTTATCTCTACCACAACGGAAACATTTTCCTTCCTTCTGCCATTTTTCCTTCTCTTCCTTGGTGACACCTAAGTCATCCGAGGCCTTAGAGTTATTGGCTGATGCGGGGAAAGTTTTCCGAGGATTTGCATTGTTGCGCGATTTTCGCCGTTCCGTTTTTTCGTCGCGAGGTTTGACAGTATCTTTACCTCGCAGGATCTCTTTCCGAGCCTTCACCTCGTGGTCCTTGCGTCCGACTTTTCGTACCCAGGTTAACCAGTCCACAAAATCTCCAGGTTCCTCAATCGCATTGGATAGCCGTTGTTCCAGCGAGGAGTTTATTCCTGTTAGGATCATGGATCTCATGACAACTGGTCCAACTCGTGCGTCCCATTCTAGGTTCTGCATTTCATTGATATAGTCGTCGATTGGGCCAGTCTGCCGGAGTTTATCCATTTTTTGCTTGGCCTGTTCCTGACTTGTGCGGTTGCAATATTGGGTACGGAGTTCTTGCTTGAACCGTTCCCAGGTTCTGATGCTGCTGTCCAAGGCTAACCTCTCCGTAAAATTCCGCCAAAAGTTCGCCGCACTACCGGTGAACTCGAGGGAGGCCCACATGATCTTAGTGCCGTTATCCCATTGGACCTTCTTCTGGAGACTGATTAGGATCTCCATCTGGTCGATCCAGAGTCTTACGTCTTGATCGGCTTTTCCGGAGAAGGGAATGTTGGCCTTTTTGGGTGCATCACCTGCGGTGGCGCGAGGACGGTGCGAGAGTTCTTTCTCCCGTTGGCGCCTCTGTAGTGGTGACGATCTGTTCCAAGACTTGGCCGAGATTCGCGGTGGTTGTGGCTGTCTCTGCCCACACTTGCGCGAGGATGATCCTTTCGCGGCGCTCCCGTTCCTCTTGGTCCTGGCCGAACTTCATCTGCAACTCGCGGATGAGTTCGGTCTGCTCTGCGTGCTGCTGGGCGAGCTGCGCGGAGTGCTGACGAGTGATGTCCCTGATTATAGGGAGGTCTTGGATGCTCACCGTGAGGTCTCCAAGTCCGCGACTCAGCTGCTGAACCACTGGGGCTCCTCTCCGTTCGATTTCTTGCCCGATAATCTCTCCAAAGGGGTGCTCGATACGGCGTTCCTCTACGTCCATATCCGTGTCTTCGTCCTCGTCCGTTACCCTGGGGACCGAGGGCCTCGGAATAGAAGACCTCTCTCTGATTGGCGTTTTGTACGGGGAATAGTCTCGATAGTCCCCTTGCCTGCGTGAGCGGGGTTGGCCATAGGATTCGGCCGGCTGAGTCGATCTGAAGAGGTCGCTGATTGGCATGTCCAGATCCCTCCTGTGGCGCTGCCTCGCCTGGGTCTCGACTATACCTCGATCTCTCACTGTGATTGAACTCTCCATGTTGTAGTCTTCCTCCGGTCGTTGCTGATGACCCCTTGACATCGCTAAGTTGCTCGATCCTGAGCTGTGGCTGTCTTCTACACCAGGGTTGAACGACGAACCAAGGGACGGAGTGAGCTAATCCGTAGGATTGCTGTCTAAGGGTGACTTTGATGGGGAAGAGTTCAGGGTAGTTGAGGATCTCCGGGTCGTGTTCTTCGAACGTGCAAGTAGTGCCTGTTTCGATAAAAAACCCGGCGTACTCGAGGTATCCGCAATAGAGATGTTCGGCACTGCCTCCACGAACGATAAAGGAGGTAGTGCAAATAAAGTTGTTGATAGCTGCTGTTGCTACTCGGGGATGCATAAGGTATCAAAGAGCCCTTCTAATAGACTACTTTCTTATTCTTTTACTTGAGCGCACGGTGACTATCCGCCACACAAAATACTCCCAAGTATTGGTCTAAGCAAGTAGTTGTCTTATCGGGACGTTGATAATATGCGATCGGTAAAATAATAGCGTAGTGGATAAGGAACAATATAGTGTTTGGGGAAATGCCAATGCTAAGCGATAATTCTGTAGCTCTTAAACTTGTAATATTGTAAACCGGATTCCGCTCGCTGAGTGACTGATGATGCCACTAAGACGAAGCAGAATCCTACCCTATTTATACATGTTGGAACCTATGCCAAGGCTCGCTTTCTAATACTACTAATACCACGATAATAGAATAAGACAATCAACCTGAAGATAGCCCCGATAGAAAAGCGCACCCGCACAGTCCCGTTCCTCCATTCTAATTCTAACACGTAACCATGAACCCTGCAATTGCCAGTAACCGAGCTGTATCATACCATTGTCCTAGAGCTACTTCCTTAAGTAGAATGGCCTGCAGCCATTAACCCCGCTTCTATTCCGTTCCGGGTGAGACACCCAATAGTAAGCGTGTTCTCACAATAGCCTAATACTGGTGTTGTTGCACCCGGTGCTCCCACACCCCTCGGTACCTTTCTATGCTTGTTCTTCCGCTACCCGACCATACCCGCATCACCACCCCTCACTCACTATTCTTCCTGTTTCCTCGACTTAGGGCAGTGCTCGTAATTCCTGTAACACCCGCGGAAACCATATTTTTGGTGGTCCTCCGAGAAACAGCCGAGTGATGCTCGTGTTGATCCCCGCTTCACGGTCGGTCTCCGCGGCGGCGCGGTGGCTGTTGTAGGCCATATTGGAAGATACGCCATGATGGAAAATTCCGCCGTGGCTGAATCCTCCGTAATGGCCAGTCTTCGGAAAGGCCCTGGGAGACTAGCCTCTCATTAGCGAATTTGTAAAGGAATGTGGGGCGGGTGAAAACTGGCGGCTAGCTGGACTGGAATAAGATGGGATTATGATCTACTACCCTACGACGTATATCTTAATCCTTCTTACTAGTACGCGACGTAGCTACTTGTAATATGATATCTTTATAAGCCTTCTGGTGCGACATCTACCTCACCTGGTACAAGGTTTAAAACTGTTCCTTTCTACACCCAGAATTGAGTAGTGACTTGCTAAGATCGCACTCGGGATACGGTACTAAACTAAATATATTTGTGGATAATCCAGACATCCCTAGACTAAGGTCTGCATACAATTAATGAATTAAACCAAGGGAAGAAAAAAAGATGCAGACATCCCACGGGAAAGGTACCCGAGTGATAGCTCATGATGCACCCCCGGTTACTTGCACCACCCCCTCTGAGTGGCATCCGGACTGAACTTATACCTGCGAATGAGGTTGTGCGGTGAGAATTCTGAGGGTATCTTGCTGCTGGGGCGTCTACTGTGATTACTCCGACGTCTCGGAAGTCTGGGGATCGGGAGCAGTCGGATTCTAATCCGTGAGCATGCGACAGATAAGGTTTCGTTAGCCTCCGGCATGTGGATTAGACTTTATTCTGACCCAGATGTCCGTAAACCAGAGTCCCAACCCCAATATCACGTATCGGAGGCCACCGTAGGAAATGGAGAGTGGTCGGAAAGTTAATGTTCCGACACTATGATCCCTGCGCTGCATGGTATGCTCCCTACAGCGCCACTCCCGAGCCGTCCCGCACCTGCCAAATAAACTTCCCGATGCTCCACTACCGCACTGCGAGGCATGGCCTCTACCCCGATATTTGGAAGCAGAAGCCGTATGCAGCATCCCCCCCCCCCCCCCTCTTTCGTTAAACATAAAACTCAAAACTCCATTTCTCAAACGACTAACAAGCCGGCCAACCAGCCAACAATGTACCACCTATCCCTTCTCCTTCTCCTAGCCCTCCTAGGCTTCTCCACCACCGCGAACGTACCCCAGTAGATACCAAGCGGCACATCCATAGCCAAGGGATGCCAGTTCCTTGTGTTTCTTCGCCTCTACAGAGACTTCGCCGTCGGAAAAACCGTCATTGAGATTTTGAGTGGGGCGGTGGTGGAAGCGGTGGAGAGATCTGGTTGTGAATGTGGCTGGCGGGTGGAGCGGGGTGGAGCGCGGTGGTGGTGGACGGAAGGCAGAGTATTTTGGGATACGCGGGAGGGTGGGGGGGGGGGGGGTGGTGGGTCCGGTGGTGGTACCGCGATGGTGCTTGGCTTTTGTGGTTCGTGGTTTTCATGTCGTGCTAGTTTGTCGTTCTAGTCCGTGTTTTATCAGCAATCGACACAATATTATTGATGCCATATTCACACCCGGCGCGGTGTTTCTTTCAATCCTGCGGCGGAATTGACGGCCCGATCGAAGGAGTCGGTGCAAGTTGTGTTGCTTTTAATCCTTCGTTAACTTCCGATGTCAACCATACTGTTGACGCAGCGGCTTTGGATACTAAACTCACTTTGAGTGCGCTGTATTTCTTCTCGTTTCTCATCCGGTGTTTGGAGGTAAGGTCTCACTAGATCTGTTCGATAAGTCACTGGGGATATCGGGCATGATTTCAAAAGTACTTTGCTAGTTTCTCCCATCTATCTTTGAGCTAGACGAGAGGGGATGTGGGGTGGTCCATCGTACTATGGAGTATATATATTCCCCGTAAATATGGAAGCGGGGGGTGCGTCATCGAGCATCACTCGGTCTGTGTGATGTTCAGTGCGGGTATCTCTGGTCGGCGCAGTTCGAGGTGGTATGGCACCAGCATAAGTATTTATTCTTTTGTGGTCGTAGATCTATTTGTTCTCAAAATCCGGAGTTGCTGGGAGTGGTGCGTTTCCGGTTAAGCGGCATTGCAGGTCTTCAATTAATGTGTTTTGATATCGGGTTTGGAGGGGTTAGGTTATCCACTTAGTGATAGCGGAACTTTGTGTAATAGTCGGGAGTCGGGACGAAGGTAGCTTTGTTCCAAATTTGTATAGCCTCTCTCCTCCAGAGTCGTCTTATGCCCGTAGCTTACTTATAAAGTAGGTATTAACTGTAGTTTTGGCGGCGTGGGCTGGTGGTGGTAGTGCTGATGCGGGCGGGTGGAGCGGCTAGGAGGTGGCTTTAGCGCGGGGGTGGCGGTGTGCGTGGGGGTTTGGGGCGAAGGTTGTTGAGTGGGGGTTGTGGGGAGGGCCGGGGGGGGCGTCGTAGCTACGACTCCCCCGCCGTAAGAGATTGAGACCGGGAGTTGGATGTGTCGCACACAAAACGCCGCACTTCTGTCGCCGTTCGTCTGCACACCCCCGAAACCGCGTCGGGGATGGGCGGCGGGATCGTGCGCTGTCACTCGGAGGTCCAAGGACGGCGTGTGTTGAGGATATCATATCAGCGGTCTGTTGTCGCTAGGTTTTTGCGCGGGGGGCGTGGGAGGGGAGGTGGCTCGCCGCGCCGCTGCATATTAAGGGGCGGAAGGTGGGGGGTGTAGCTGTGGTGGTGGGATTTCTGCGGTAGGGCCGGTGTGGTTCAAAGCTTAGCGGGAGATGGGAGGGGGCGTTGGTTCTGAGTGCGGGTGGGGTTGGGCTGGGCTCGGATGGATTATGGAAGGCGGTGAGGGCACCGAGTGGTGGCGTGGTAATGGGCTGATGGGGGCGGGGGTGCCGGTGGTTTGTGTGCTTCGGGCCCTGGGCCGGTGTAGTTGAGGGGAATATACCGTGATCAGTATTGGCTTGTGGGAGGGAGGGGGAACACCGGTGATGTAGTCCAAAAAGCTCCAAGCGTTATGGTGCAATGGCATCGAAGCGTGAGAGACTGTCAGTCATGTGCTCTGTATTGAAGTGAAGTCGATCGTGTATTGTACTATCAATATAAACATCCCCGCATGAAGCGCACTAAACATGAGCAGCAAGAACAGCATGAAGCACGCATGAAGATCCCATGTCTGAGCAAGAAAGAATGTAAATCACCCCCACGCCCACTCGGTATGATACCGCTATGGGCAACTACTATCACCGGCGTTCAGTAACTCCGGATACCCAAGCTTTCGCATCGTCTTCTGGACCCACATCTCGGCTGCTGCATCCATCTCTTCCGCGGTGGCGGCGGTCATCACTTGCCGGTCTATGCTGTCGTCGCTGATTGCGGGAGAGGGTTCCTTAGGTCCCCGGCGGCGGCGATTCTGTCTTCGCCGCTTACGCTTGCGACCGGAGGGGGCGGTTGCGTCGGTATCTGTTGGGCCGTGGGGTGGCGGGAGTTGATGGTCGGTAGCCTTTCGCTTGGATCCGCGGGGTGGACTGGCTGCCAGCGAGATCGGCGGATGGCGGACAGCGGACGTGATAGTTCTGGGGTTGTCGGAAGAGTTGGTCTTTTGTTCTTCCGGCAGGTTGGCTGGAGAGAGGGAAATTAGTTGATGTTTTATAGATTCGATCTCCAACCGCGGCAAGGAACCACCGAGAGATAGGCGATAGGGAGGTGCTGGTAGGGATCCTGGCTCATCCGAGATCGGTGATGTGATCTCCTCCGGGGAGAGCGGCTTCGGGTCGGTCGAACGTTGAAAGGAAAGTTTGAAAGGTATGGGTGAGATGATGAGATGTGACTTTCGATAGAGTCGGTAGTCGAGCGACGATAGCGAGTTGGAGATGGTGGCATCGAGGGAGAGGCGGAAGGGTATTGGGCTCAGGTTGCGGAGCTCGACGAGGGAGACGGAACGGTGGGGGCAGGTGTTCATGATGAAGCGAGTGGGAGTGTAAGTGGGAGGGAGAGAGAATGTGGGATGGAAGGAGTGTTGTGGATGGATCTGGCTCGCTTTGGACTTGTTGTCTGGAAGGAAGGTGTCATTTTAACGCACCCAGGATCACAGGTTGAGCACTTTCTGTGAGCTACAGATTACAGGTGCTTCTTCCATCAGTCTAACGAGAAGAGATGTTTCCTCCGGAGACCAGGCCAGAAGAAGCAAAGAGAGCTGCCAGAGTACATATATCTCAAATCTGTTATATAATATCCTTGGCGTATACTTGCTTTACGATGACACGCACAGGTAACGTCAAGGCCACACCCCCCTGGGCCCTGGGAACAGTGGGAACGTTCCCTTCTCGCCCGGAACATCGACCCATTAGCACGATACCGACACCCTGTGGACTGAGTGTGTTATGGAGGGGTGAGGGGATGGATGGGGATGGGGAAGGGGAGGGAAGAGGAAGGATGGTGTGCGAGTGATAGTTTGTGATGCACCCCCGGGGGTTGATTTGGCTGATTTGGCTGATTGTTTCGTTATGTATATGCAATCCGGAGAGTATGGTACAGTATGTGATCTTGTGTAAGTGTGTGCTAGGGGTCTTGGACTACTGATACACATATTGCTGGTTGTGGGTGCGGTGTGATTTTGTACTTGCTACGTCGCGGTTTAACGGTATTTCTGGTGGTCATGCTGGTGGTGGTGGTATGTATTATTATTCTTTTGTTGACCGTGGTGGAGGGAGTAGTGAGTTAAGATTAAAATAGTGTATTATCCTCTTTCTCTCTACTCTTCCTCTCTAGCTATAGCTTTGCTGATCTGTGTCGCCCCTTTTTTTGTACAGACACTTGCATACCACCCGAAGAAATATACTACACAGTGTAATATCTATGTAACACTCACCACCTCGAAACCAGAAATCATAACAGCCTCCAAATCCGCATCCTCTTACTCTTTAAGTACTGCATCTCCGCCGTGTACTAATGATACGTCAGCATCATATCCAACATAACATATAGTGTAGAGGTGAACGTACCATACGTAACTTCCGCTGCACCCTTTTAATCCTCCGTTCATTCTGCCGTAGCTTGCGATATACATCACGAAACGACCGTTTAACCTCACCGAGAGGGCGGACGGCGGGTGTAGCGAGCGTCGGTAACCCGTCACCGGTGGCTGCTGGGAGCTGCGGGTGCGAAACCGACCCACCTAAATCGGCAGCCGCGCTTGCCTCAGCTTCAGCTACCAGGGCCATAGCATCCCCCAGCAGATGCAGCTTGTCGGTCCCCCCCCCTTCGCCGACGACGTTCGCCCCCTCCGTCGGCGGTTTTGTCTCCGCATCACCAATGTAGTAGCTACCCCTTGTTGCGTCCCACCCCCAGAGACCATCGATCTGCTCGGCATCCGAGCTGCGACTTGTGCATGAATTCAAGACGCTGCTGAACGTCATGTCGCACTCTACAGCTGCAATGGCGGCGGAAAGTTCTGCGCAACTATCTTCATGATCTTTGGGGGCTTCTGTGTCGTCTTCGATCATGCTGCAGTCGAACTCTGTGTTATTCTCGTCGTTGTTGTCGTCGGGGTCAATCTCCTGCCGGGTTGTGGTGTCCGAGCTGTCTGTGTTGTCGGTGGCTTGGTCGCTGCATGTGATGGACTCGGGCGTGTCTTTTTTGCATGTCGGGCGCGGGAGCTTGTGGCGTGGGGGGTGGGGTGGGGCGGGGGCGGGGCCGGGGGCGGTGATGTCTAGGTCCTGGTACTGCCTTTTTGCGACTTTTGTGGGCTTGTGGGTGTTGGGACGCATTTTTGCTGTTGAAGTGGTGGAGTGGGGATGGTGGTGAGTAGGCAGTGTGGGGGGTTCTGGGAGATGGCGGTTATATATCGATAAAGAGGATGAGACCACAATTGCGGGACCCATTTGAACGGTGTCTAAGTACTCGGAAGCCTTTGTTGGAGTTTGTTGGTATGGGTTTGTGGATGCATATGCTCGATGTGTCCTCTGGGGGTGTCTTACACTGGTCTAAGTGGACAAGACAACACTCGTTCTTATTTCGCTGTCTAAAGCATTACCGGAAGTCTAAACGGAACTGGCCCAGAACTTTGAACAACGAAGGGGACACGATGTAATTACTATGTCCTTTCGTAGCGTGACATTTGTGGTATTCGTAGTTCATTGGAAACCCTAACCCTGCGCCAAGTCCCACGGCGACATGTATCCCACAAAACTGATTACAGGTGAGGTTTTAACTTAGGATGTGAGGGTGGGAATGCAAAGACAGATATGGGCGTCTAGGGCCTGGTTGGGTGGTGTTCTTGGAGACGTGGTGCACCTGTCCCCCACGGTGCCTGCGGAGGAGAGGCAAGGACACAGTTGTATTGAATCGTGCAAAGATCGTTTATCCGCACCTTCGTGCATTCGATAAGCGAGAACACCCACTGTAATCGACACGGTGCCCTGAGAAATATCATACATGCCGCAGCTCTGTTCAAAAGCCACGCGGCTCCCCTCCCCTGCACCCCACAGCACCCCTGGCGATACCACGGACCTGCAACGTACTCCGCACCAACACCCCATACCACCTGTCCACAACCATGTCTCGGAAACGTATTTAAGCCCCTCCTTCCCCTCCTCTTCCTCTTCATCATCCATCATCAACATCGCACTCGCATCCACGACCATTCCTTCTGCCAATCCTTCACCCTTCAAGACTATCTTGGGTGCTTCCCCTTTGAATCTCTTGTCCTATGAGAAGACCTCGTGCTCGTTCCATGGGGTCCGTACCCCTGGAGGAACACCCGGGATTATGGCAATCCTCTACCTCACTTCAGCCACTTCCCACGCTGGGTTTCAACATCCATCATCACCATTCCATCGGTGTAGCGAAACGTACCGCAAGGCCGCATGGCCAGAATAGACAGACCTTCACCCTACAGCATTCAAGTCTTCGTCGTAAGACACAAGGGCAAAGAAATCCCGTAATCGACATGCGTATGCTCAACGAGCTAGTCCCCAGAGACGCATACCCGCTACCGCGTCAAGAAGATATCTTTGCGAAAATCAGCGGTATGAAATTCATTAGCGCCCCAGATGTAACATCAGTATTCTAACAAATAATGATTCACCCAGATAACCGTTGCCGTACAGGTATCGTAACCCACAGAGGCCACGAGATGTTTACCCTCTCACCAATGGGTTACAAACGCTCAGTACAACATCAGCAAAACCTGATGGATAGCGTTGAGAAGCCAACAAAGCCCAGAATATCTGGTGCCTCGTCCCGCTCGTCAGGGCGGATCGACAAGTGATGCACAAAGTAGCAGGTATTATAACGTTCTCCCCGTGGTGCGGCCTTTTGGCGTTTTGAAAGATTTCTTGACTCACATTATTTTGGAAACTCTTAGTAGATGGCGGTTACAAAAGGCCGCCTGGTTACGGCGTTCTACCCTCGTTACTATTGAGGAGTTTCCCGCCTTCGGCAGAAACCTTAAGACGGCACCCTCTGATCTCGTATGGAAGCCCCACTTGCATATACTCCGTAAGTTTATTTAACGAATCTCATGGCCAAGGTTGTTACTAACTATGAGTATAGGAGTGAGGTTTATTACCAAAAGACAAGAGGTCACTGGTCTTCGAAGTTTCCGCAGTAGCTTTGCGGGGTAGAAAATCCAGGAATTCTTCACCCGAGGGGTGCCCGGGCAATCTTCCTGGCATCTCAGCCGGGATTATGTTGCGCCACTGGGTAGTTCCTGACCCGGGCAGACACCCTCAATAAGACAGCCCCTGGTGCAACTTATCTATTAATCTATAAGTTTGAAGGTGGTGACCATGATTAAAGGTGCCCTGCAAATCACGAAAGCATGGGCAACGTTTAAAGACGTCCAGGGGCCCGCTCTAGTAGCGAGCGACAAATCTTCCCTACAATTCGAGGTTGCAACGGTGGCATTTCGGTGTGTCACGATAATTGTCGTTGCGATATTTGCCTGCAGCCGGAGACGTCTGTCAAAGACCGATACACCGCAGGTTGTGAAGGTCTACGCCACCCTCGGAGAGCCAGGGGAGTTTTTCTTCCGATCTCAACGGTGACGATATAGCTCCGTTATTGACAACAGGTCATCCAAAGAATGCTTGTCTAGTTTATGTAATCAGTCTTGGCACTGATTAAAGCAGACACTAGCCTAGTTGTAACGCAGCAGGATCAGCATGTCATAACTAGTCAGACCAACCTCCTAGAATAGATCATCATCATGCTTCCTGCTTGTATATGATCGAAGGAGGAATCAGAACACTGTGAGCAGCCAACCACGTGGTGACCCCGACGTGATTCGTTAGCTTCAAAACACTTCACATAAGATCAAAAGGAACCCTATCGACAAAGTGTCATCTCCACCATCACAAATCAGCGGACGGAAGATAAAGACTGCAGAAGTCATCGAGCTACTGAGAAGCGGTAGCCGTCCAAGGAAACGGAAGAGCAGGAGCAGGAATCAAATGAGTGGTATCGTCTCCTTCCAACCAATAACACCAAACATATTCACAGACGGTGCAAGCCAAACGTTCGTCAAAATCACGGTGCCATCACCCACCAAAACATATTCACAGACGGTGCAAGCCAAACGTTCGTCAAAATCACGGTGCCATCACCCACCACCACATCGTGTAGACTTGTACATCATCCTATACAATTTCATCACGTAAAACACCTAGTAGTAATCCTTTACGGAGCTCGTGTTACAACAGCGGTCACCTATAAAGAGGAAGACCAGGACTCTACTAGAAATGAAAAGCAATCAATTGATGCATTACTCCCCAAGGCGAGTTGAGTAAATGAATCAATTGATTCATTTACCGGTAACGTCGTTTGTAAATGAGACAAGTGATTCATTTACAATGTATTTACCGAGTGTCCTTTCGTGACACCTTAAAGCAACATTCTCTGTACATTAAAATACAATTTGTGTGTACATTACCACCATTTTCGGGTTATCTCTGCTCTCTGCATAAGTCCATAATAATTGTGTATTATTTTCCGTAAGTGATATAGTCTATCAATGGTTTCTGGAGCTTCTGGGTTCAACTCTCGCTGCCAGCAATAATCTTTGCTGTTCTTGGGCAAACAATACATAAGTGATCGCCTAGAAAATCCCTTTCAAGACTAGGTCAGCTAATGTGTAAAAAAAAAGGGGACATACAGTAGCAAAAATCGGGGTGAAATTACTACTGAAGTGATATGGCAGCACTGCGGCATTCTCAAAGAATGTCGCATTGTTAAGAATGCTGTTGTAAAGCGGCATTTGCAAGACTGCTAACCTGTGCCTTTAAATGTCTAACCTATGCTTTAAATGCCTAACTGATTAACTGATCGATCAATAACTTACCTTGCGGAGGTGAGGCGGCCATGCGGTTTGGTAGTCCGTACTCCTACACCTAGTCAGATACCCTATCAGACCAGTATAAAATAAGGGCACATAGAATTAAAAAAATTATTTTTTCAAAAGTATTCCCTAGATCTTTGGAACCCATTGATGAGGGAGATGCAGTTATAGATCTGTTGATGAATTGAGCTATTGTGTTCGGAATCTTGGTGGTGGTTTAATGGAAAGTTGAGATGCCTCAATGGAGATATGTAAGCAAAACCCGAGTGTAACTACAGTCAAGTGTTGCATGTATTCATTCATGCATTCAGGCTAGTCATATAGCATAGGAATTTGGGTCAGTGAAGTAAATGTCGTAGGAATGCGGGCATTTCTCAATCCAAATCAAATACAATCCCTGCATGCCCTCAAATACGGCATCCACCCAAATTAATGCCGTAGCGCTGTTCTACCGTAGTGATATCACCCCGTTTTGTTTTTTTTTTGCTACTGTATTTGACTCAGAGATTCATTTACTGTCATTTACCAGCGTCATCACGATTGATTTTACTTGCTCCCGTAGCGGGATGGACCGGGGGGACCAGAACATCTCGAGATCCCGAGGACGCCAAAGATGGTGCGAATTAAACACTACGACGGATCAGGCAGGAGCGGAGCGCGCCGAGGCATGATGGGGCTGCGTCAATACAAGCTGCAAGATAGACCAATGAAATTCGAAGTGAAAGGCAAAATATACTTACACAGCAGTTATGTATCTCTACCAATCCACTAAATTCTCGGTCCCGTCGTCCCATATCAATATATTGACGGACTAGTAGCGATAAAAATCACTCCGCACTACACAGTAACCAATAACTCGCCCCCGACCATGCTAGATCGCACAGCATCTTCCGCTACCATCGTCAAGTCATCTACCGTGACTTGCACCAGGATGAGGGAGCGAGATCGTGGTGGCTGGGACGCACTTTGGTGTGTTGATTACAGGCGGTGATTGGGCATCTCTACCCGTGGTGGTATGCGCGTGAGCGATTTATTACCTGTAGAAAACATCTAGTCAGTGTTTCCCGTGGTTGTGCCGGTTATGTGGTTTTAAAACCGTTTGTACTCAACCGTTCAAGTAGTTGGTAGGGTTTTTTTTGCCTCCTTGAATAAAACGGTTAAACGTTTCACGAATCTTTAAAACCGGCTATACCGGCGCTTTAAACGGTTTATACAAGGCCTGTTCGTGAGATCGAACGTCATGCTTCCGTCAGCTGGAAGACCCAGGTTCCTGAGCTCGACCACCCAGGTTCCTGCAGGAGCTTGCACACTCATCATGCGCATGTTCAGCTGTCAAGACATGGAACCACGGTTTATCGGTTAAACCGGCTCAAACTCTCAAGTTCAAGTAGTTGGTTCAGCTGGCACGGTTTGACCGTACTAATTTTAGCAGTTGGTACAGTTTCGCCTTCATTTTGAACCGGTTTGTACCGTTGGAAACCCCGGTGATATGCTCGCGAGATTTACTACTTGTATCACTAAAGACGTCGAGTTCCGCGACGTAGTTGCGCGCCGGCACAGTGCTTTCTCCTGTACGCCGAGTGGATGGGAGATTAAAGTACACTAAACCACCCTTCGCACGTGGGCTGCCTTCAATATCACTGTCTCGGTTGATATATCATCCTGGTACTGCCAGACGCCAAACCATACATTACTCCGCCCCGAGGGCCGGCCGGGGTCGGTGGATATCAGTTTCCACGCCCGCTTGTTTCGATTGGCGTTGACGAATGTACAGGAATACCCCACCGACGAACACTGGTAACAGCAAGTGGGATTCTCTTGTAGGGGGCACTGACACCGACGCACCACCGGACTAGCCCCATAGCAGACAGGACATCTCCATCTGCGCCATCATGCCAGAGGGTGCAGTCATTGCCGCCACTAGCTGGGGCTGTTAGAATGCACGCGGGGTTGTAGCGGGTCGCGGGGTTTGTGTTATGAGTAATGTGCGCGTTCAGCAGGCCCGTTGACATCGGGCTCTATGTCCATCATTACCAGCGGTGGGTGGGTTCAGGGTATACGTGTTTTGTAGAGTTGGTCGAGCGTTCACCACGGGATTCAGAACCAGGGCTCGGTCAATACGTATAGGGCCACTGACAGCCTTTCTTTCTAGTGCGCCCGCCTAGCAATAACTCCGCGTTTTTGCACCACTTTTGGGCCCGGGAGCACTGCGAGTAGCAGACAGGCTTGCATTGTCTAGACCAAGCTCGAGGTGGGTGTGGCCGTATCAGCGGGTCTTACAGGCGGCGCCCAAGAGACAGTACATGCAAAACTACCGAGAAACCACCTTCACTCGCACCTCCACCCGCACCCCGCCCACCCACCGATCCACCACCGCCCCCGACCTCACTACCCAGCCACCCTACACACCGCCGCCCACAACACCCGCCACACCCTCCGGGCGCTCAACCGGGGAATCATACCGAAAGAATCGAAAGCTCACACACGCCCCGGGGTAACCAAACGGATCCCGCCCGCTAAAGTAATCACACACCGTCCCAAACACCATATCCCGCGAGACCGTCTGCGCACTCACATCCTCCAGCCCCGCCGTATCCAGCTCGAGCCGCCAGCAGTGGCGGTCCGCCAGGGAGCGCACGCGGCGGAACGGATCCATTGTCGGCGCTTGGAACTCGGCCTATGTCTCCTTTGTTAGAAAGGGCCCGCGGGGAGGAAGGGGGGGGGGGGGGGGGTCGCACGTCATTCTCCGGACCCAGTCCATCCCCCACCACCTTCTTCCACCCAAACGCGAACCCGCGTCCCCGCCACTTGCTCATAACCTTCGCCGTCCCCGCATCCGGCACACGATTAACCAGGCTCTGTCTGCTGCCAAACGTGTACGCCGGAAACAGGCTATACGCGCAATCCCAGCCCACGAAATTCATGACCACCGTCGAATGGGCCGTCAGCACGCTCTCCAGCGCCGAGCGCTCATACATGACGAGCTGCACGCGCCGCGGCCCCTTGCGGAACTCAAACACGTCGAACAGCAGCGGATATGTCCCCGAGATCTCGCGGTGCGCCGCTGGGCTGTCGCGGCGGCGGCGGCGTGCGAGGCTGCCGAACAGCTCTTTGCCGGTCGCGCGCGCCCAGTCGATGCCGGGCGGTGCGTGCGGCGTGTAGCCCTCCGCCGCGACGAGGTGCGCTGCCACGGACGCGAGCTTGGCGTAGCATTTGGTGGCCTCGGGGCCGTTGTTGCCGGCGCCCGTGAAGAGGACGTCGAGGTCGCTGTCCGGGTAGTGGGTGCGGTCGAAGAACTGCAGCGCGGCCGAGCCAGCGAGGATGGCGTCGTTGGCGGCCATCTGGCGGCGGAAGGCCGCGGGGTCGCGGACCCAGCGGGTGAGGAAGCGGGGGAGGTTCCATTGGGTTTTGTGCATCTCGGGTGCGTGGCTGTGCAGTTTGCGGGAGCACCGCTGGAGACGGATCAGCGAGAGGGGGTCGAGGAGGGAGAAGAGGGTGGAGCGGATTGTGTAGTGGTCTAGAACGTCCTCGAGGGTGGATGGGGGCGGGGGCGACATTGGTCGGACGGAGCGACAGGGTGAGGAGGGCGTTGGGTGTGGCTGCAGGATGCGGTGAGCAATGGACGGCGAGGGCATTCGGGGGGGGCGGGGCGGGGCACACACACCTTGGTGAACAGCGGGAGAGTCTGGAAATGAAATGTAGTAGGATGCGGGTTTGTGATAGCCGGCGGGCCTGAAAAAAGGCCATCCCTGTCAATCTGCCAAGAGATATTGCCAAGAGAGTCTGCCGGGAGACTTTGCCATGTCTTGGCACACCCGGATATATGCACTTCATTGAATTATGCTGTCCCACACTATTGATCGAGTTCTCAATATCTCCGAACTCGACAGTGCGGTAGTGCAAGATTACCGGATGCTTAAGATGAGAGTGGTGATGGTGTGAGCAAGGATGGGGGTGCCGCGGTGTAATTTACATATAGGCTCTCCGAAAATAATACATACATGTATGCTCAACTGAGTCCGACCACCACGTCGCCATTGAAACGTGTTTTAACACATATGTAAGTATTCATAATAACTCTGCCCACCCCCCGCATATCGTGCATTCTCAGAGAGCAGCCAGAGTTGCGAGCCAATGACATATGTAGTTTCTTCACTCCTTTGTCTCGCGCTCCTTTTCAGCATCCCCATTCCATTCGCGCATTTACAGTTCTTTTCTCCCCCATCTTCTCATAACTGCAGAAATCTATTCGATGGAACCCCTTTAAAACACAACTAGATCCCCCCCCTAGCCCGACCGCCATCCCTCTGCCTCCCCCCCCCCCAAGCCATCGCCACGTCATCCATCCCCAGCCTCCTCGGCGCTTTCTCCAGTGTTCTTGACATCTCCGCAGCTCGTGCACCTGCCACCCCACCGCCGACTTTTTCGTTCTTCCACCCACGTTTGTTCCTACCGCATCTCATCCTCCTTCGCCTTTACCTCAGGGGGGGGGGGATATTCCCCCTCGTCCACTCTCCCTAGGCCTGCCCCAAATACCTCCCTCCTCCTCGCTTCCAGCACAATCACCCCCCCCCCGCTCCCCCCAGGTCCCCCAATGAGCGCACTACTGGCTGTCTATTCCCCGTGCGCTCCACCGTCCCGCCCCGCCCAGACCGGAAGAGACCCTGACTACCAAAACCCACCCCTCCCCCTGCGGGTACCATTCCCAATGAACCCGCCTCAAAGCGCCGAGCCCCGCCCCTCTTGGCGTTTTCCCGACGCTATACATACATACATACATACGTCTTTTTCTTTCTTTTTTTTTTTTTTTTTTCCCCCTTTCCTTGTCCATAGAATGCTGCGTGAGGGTGGGGGCTTGGCGCCCGCAAAATGATTCTGGCAGCAGCGATATAAGGCGCCTCCCGCCCCTCTCTCCCCCCCCCGCTTGTAGACCCTTTTTTCGCGGGGGAAAACTTTCGCAAACCATAAACAATAACCGTTTGCAAGATTTTTTTTAGAATTCTTGTTTCTTTTTTTTCTCTCTCATTTCTGGCACGGGGCATGTAATGTAAGCCAAGTGTTTGTTTTCTGGAATACTCTTTTTGCTCCTCCTTGTATGATCGACCAAGGCATATCATTACACTAACATCCCCCAGCGCAGCGCAATCAACTTCGTCCAGCAGCCAGCCAACAAACACACCGCGGGCCGGGGTGCATAAATACCAAAACACAAGCCGCCCCACTACCCACCCGAGGCGTTTATGTCCGCCGTGCAGCACATGTTGATTCTGGGAGGTGCGAGTGGGGGAATGTATGTACGGAATACATTTTTTTTCTCCGCGCTTTCCTCGCGCCTTGATCGATCAAGACGCTGTATACCAACCGCTACAGCTCCCAGTCCAACCGACTGCGGCAGCTAGCCCAGTAGACGGTCGGCGGGGGTGCATAAATATGTACAAATTCAAAAAAAAAAAAAAAAAAAAAAAAAAAAAACACACACAAGCCGCCCCGAGGTCTGTATGTCCGCTCCCCGCCCCATGCGATGGGCACCTGTCCTGTCCTGCCTTCCGTCGGTGGGTGGGGGTCCGGGGTGCTTCAATACCAAAAAAGCAAAAACAAAAAACACAAGCCGCCCCCTCGCGAGGCCCGCAGCCCCGAGGGCGGTATGTCCGCCGCTCATGCGACGAGGTTATGTGTTCTCCCTCCATCGGTGCATGTGTCCGGGTACATAAAATAATAATCTAAAAAAAACAAATCACAAGCGCTCATAGCACGAGGCACCTGGTTTACCGCCGCCGATGGATGTAGTCCGGCAAGTGGTGGAAGGTCATCAGGTGGTGGAAGGCCCGCAGATGGATACCGAATAGCTACCTACGCACATGATCATGGTGCGCGGAGGAGAAGTACTAGCGAAGCTACTAATGCATCTTGACTACGTCTCGATTAAAGGAAGCACGACATTTATCATACCCGGGCCAACGCAAGGACAGGAACTAACTAACGTACTAACTCATCTTGGCCATGTCTCGATTAAAGGAAGCACGACATTTATTATACCCGCACCACCACCCTACCCGGATCACCGCAAGGGGATGTACTAACGGACGTACTAATTGCATCTTGACTCTGTCTCGATTAAAGGAAGCGCACCAGCTATTATACCCGGATCACCACACAACTCTTTCCTTCATTGTAACAGCGGAATTTCATTCATACGGATCACCGCCATCCATTCGGAGGTCACGGTGGTGATTTAGTAAACCGCGAGAATGGGGATTGCTGGGGTACGGGCCGCCGCAAGGAGATGGACTCACGAATCTACTAATTGCATCTTGACTCTGTCTCGATTAAAGGAAGCACGACATTTTATTACACCAGATCACCGCAGGGAGATGGACTAACTAACGTACTAACTCATCTTGACTCTGTCTCGATTAAAGGGAGCACGCCACATTTATGTACGCCAGCGTTATGATCAGAGACCGGAACCCCCGGCTAGAGATTTAAGTTGGACTACAAAACCTTTCACCGCCCCACCACGGTCGTCCGAACGACGCGGCAATATACGGAAAGAAATTATGCTTCCCCACCCAGCCAGACCAAAAACCAGGGCGGAATGTTCCGACATGATCGATGGAAATATTTCCGGCCTCTTGCTCTCCTGCACGGCTAATGGCGGATCATAATCGTGCCCAGGGGCGGAGCGACACAAGTACGTAGATTCAGTAGAGATAGGCACAGAGAAACCCATCTCAGCCTCACCCTCTCAAAATTTCCATCCCTACCAAACCTCCGGCGTTCGGAGGGAACAAAACCTCTGGTTTGATAACCAACACCTCCAATTCCATCTCTCCGATAATTCCAGCCAGACCCGGCCGGTCATGGAATTGCAATAGGTTTCGCCGCACCAGCAAAGATGGGGCTAACGTAACGGTCAGGTCCTCTGCAAGCCCTTTTCTTGAAACCTGGTCGGGATATAACCCTCTGGCTTTTTATTCTCCATGGGCGGGCAGCTACTTAGTTTCCGGCGGACGGTAGGTGAGAGCCAGAGCTTCCTCGGGCCGAAGTGTAGATCACAATCGGGTAACACAGGCCTGATCCTCAGGAACAGAAGGCAAACTGATGCAGCCCACGGAATAAGTGGCCATGGTCAGAGTAGCCAGAACCACGACATCGCCCATGTACTGTTTGTCCGCCTCCGGAGGAAGGTTTAAACACTTCTCCGCCACGGCGTGAGACCTTTCTCAAGGTTCTGGGTAAATATTGGTACCAGTACCAGGGGTTTCAAACTACCAATTTCATGGTCTAGAGACTAGCGCAGTGTATTCTAGCCTAGTTTTATAGCGGACTAGACCGGCCGTTAACAGCGGAATAGGACCAGTGGTGAGTAGTCCGGACCACGAGACGCATAGACTATTAGAAGCTGTGGGCTGGTGTTAGGGGTGCGTCTGACATGTGGCTCCGGGAGTGTCTTGGACCGGGGGAAAGCCGGTAGAGGGAGGTTCACTTTCCATGTTCTTTGGGGGTAGATTTGAGCTTGACCGAGTGAAATCTCTCGCTTTTGTTCGCCATACGCGGGAGACTAGTTATTTAACTCCGCGCGGAGGGTATGTCATCCCTTCCCTTTCCACGAAGATGGAGGCGGGGGAAAGGGGTCTTGTGCGGAAAGGAAAGGAGATGAAGAAAGGTGAGGTCGACATCGAGCTTTAAACCCGCCAACTCACAATCTTTAGGAAACTAGACGAAGACCGGGAATCCACCAGCAGCTTGCACATGCCTAGGAATCCAACAGCACAATCTATCTCAGCATAGGACGAAGACATGACCCAGTCTGTATGCAACATTAGCCATTTTGGGGAGATTTATATACGACGGGTCGCCGCTCGGAACGCTCAGCCCTTGCGGGAAGCAAACAACAATTTAAGAAGTTCCCACACCGCCAGGGAATATGTGGATTTCCAGCATGCCGTTAACAAACCTTTCGACATTCAAGGATTTATCGATAGCCAAGAGATCTCCCCAGATGATCTTACCTCGGGAGATTATCCTCAACCCAATTACAGGCTTATTTGTTTGGCATGCGTGATCCTGTCGAGCATAATCAATATTTCACCAAGCCCTACTCATGAGTATATGAGCGGTTATGTAAGACAAACTGGATTGTATACTCAATATTGTCAATTGATGCTAGCGAATTTATGCGTCCAGTATTACAATCACTGGGTTTGTTGTTAATTCCTGAAAGCATTATTTGATATCAGAAATATCGTCCCAATTGAGCTACTGCCACAGGTCTGGACTCTGGAGCTGTTCGCCTGGAAATCGCAATAATGAAAACATCTTATTCGTGAATTTCTTTCCTTACGCCATACTGGAAGTCCATATATGGCCCAACTATTTAGGAACATCCGAAACGGTAGATTTCTTCCGGCCATGGCTGGATCTGCTGATACAGTATCCTGCGAAATGGAAATGCTCTCAAACGGAGGAACTTCATATATGGAATAAACAAAAAAAAAAAAAAAAAAAAGTAATTATTAGAGCACCATATGAGCCAGAAAATACCGTTACTAAATACAAGGATTATTTATATTTCAGAAGGGCGCAGATAATCATTGCCTTTCTTATCTGTACTTTCCATTTCCTAAGCTTGTAGGCGAGTGCATGAATGTTCCTGCATATACATGCAGCTGTGCCTGCATATGCCGATACTCACGCGCTAATTAGAATGTCGGAATTCTGTGTGGAGGTTTCGTTGGAACGACTTCTGACCTATTAGTCAACGAGCAAATATAAGCTATATAAGACCTAGCTATTGTATCGGACTCATAATAGTTTACAACTCGCACATTTCACTTTACCCTTTACCTGATTCCGCACCCACAAATCAGCAGGTAGCCCTCCCTAATCCTAATAATGAGAGAAAACCCGGGCTCGTAACCGAGAGAACAGAATATCTAGTCACGATATAATTGAGATTTCCACCTCTCACCAGTCTCTCAACTTATTTCAATGAGAAGTGGACACCTTATCTGTCAAAATGTGTTTCTCGGTATAGAGTCTTCTTTATCACCGAGATATCGGCTCCTAAGCGTATCCACGCATCTCCACCGCATGTTGATAACAGCTTATATGACTTGCTATCACATCTTGTAGGAAAGGTCTATAATGAGATGCATAATATAATGAGGTGTTTCTCGAACGACGATGTGATCATATCAATCCAGTTCTGTTTATGTACCCCCCCGGCCATCAATTTTATATCCACTCCCGGCAGGAATTCATAAATCGCTCTACTGATGAACCAACGATAAAGTTGCTGAATGGATATCCTACACCACGTCGGCCGGCAGAAGGTTTCGGCACATCCGATTAGGAGTGGAATAGGCAGGGTTTCCAACGGTAGGAACCAGTTCTGGTACACGACAAAACCGCACCGCCCACTAACTCGGGGAAGTCAAACCGTACTAACTGTACCGACTGTTTATCTTGACAGTTTGAACCGGTTTAACCGTCTAAACCGTGGTTCTATGTCTTGGCACATCTACCGTGGTAAGGGTCCGCAAAATAGGTGTTCATGTTCTCGAACAGGATGTTCGAGCTTAGGAACTGGGGTGTTCAAGCTCACGAACAGGAGTCGTGTAAACTGTCTAAACTGTCGGTATAACTGGTTTTGAAGATTTCTAAACCGTTCAAACCATGTATTATAAATGATAAGAACCGTACCAACTGCTAACTTAAATGGTTCAGTTAAAACGGTTTCAACCACCTAACCGCCGAACCACTGGAAACCTTGGGAATAAGTAGGAGGCAGATCTAGAGCTAGGGTGCATGAGATTCCTCCTTTCTCGGCCAGGTCCTGCCAGAGTTTATTACTGGAGACTTGAAAGATAAATAAGCCTTATACTACCAAAAACCGTTATTTAACCCTTATTTAAGCCTTATATAACGCGTATTTCCTTACCCCCAAACCCTGTAGAATAGCTACCACCATTACGATGTTTACTAATATACATTCACCATTCATAAAACGACACTCCGAGTAATTTTGCTTCACTTCGACATGTTGCACTCCAAGGACTGTCGGTGATTTGAGGCCAGACTTCAGACCTTCCATTTATAACGGGCCTGGCGACAGTCCACCTCCGGGGTCGGGACCAGCGAAACCATGATAGTGAGAACCAATGTATCCAGTGATAACCACAGAAACCGAAATCGTCTAGGACAAGTAAAACGAATGACCAGAGGAATGTGTGCGAGTGATTGATTTTGATTCCAATAAATTGCGCCATCTCTCTGTTCCTGTTAGCCTCATGCTCCATGTACTTTAGACCACCCCCCTGCGAACGGTCTTACGCAGGGCGCTTATGTGAGTACTAGTAAGTCTTTCCTTCTTCCCTACTAGATACCATCGGATAGATCTTGGGACAGAATGCCTGGAGATGTCTAGTGATGCCTCCTTGGCTTGTAGAATAGTATTGAGGAGTCTGGTCTTCGCATTAAGCGAAAATTTGAGAGATCGGCGAAAAAACGATACGGTCCTCCCGAGCCTCTGAGGCCACTTCCTCACATCTCGAGAATTAACTTGTGTTCTCACGTGAGGCGGAAGCCCAACATCGATTTTTCTGTGCGTCGAACATTCAATTTCCATTGTTTTGCTGTAGGTGAACTCCACACTCGATAGACGATTAACCGGTACTTCATCTCCATTAACTTCTTTCTGAAATATTGAAACTTCACATTGACTGCTCCTGAGCGAGTCAACAACCAATCTAAGGCAAATAAGGCTTGCAAGGCTAGCAACATCAGAGCTGATACCGGAGGCGCAGGTGTTTGAGAGCTCGGCAATATGATATCCTAGCACCAAAGGGCCAGTAGGTATACCATCGTAATAACAATCGGCAAAAATATCATTAACTTCTGAAAGTCTTTTTGACATTTCTTCTACAGCCTCTTCAACGCATTCCAAGATATGGCAGCGGAGGACTTCATAATCATGATCGGCATTACTCGTGAACTTCGCGAGTGTCGAGTGATCGACGTTTCTTGGTATCCGAGTATGTCTTCTGTCATCGTCTAACCAGTCTAATGCAGACTCCTTGGTGACCATCTCCACCTTTGGGCCTGTTCTGCCCCATATGCCGGTTGGACTCCGCTTTATTAAAGTTAGCAACAGATCACAATCATGGCACCAGAATTATCGTACCCGAACCGTTGCAGATAAGCTAGTCTCATATATTGAAAAAACGCGTAGGGAATCTAGTGTGAATGTCTCGTTGAATGACCTCTCGAGGTCTTTGAGAAACTGTGAACCGATGCCAAGATCTGATATAAGAGCCTCGTTAGGCTGCCCCTTCACCATGTACTTCAGTTGTTCATTATTCATGCCTCTATGTGGCACCCCAAGAAAGAAACAAGCATGCACCGAGCGAGATACGCCCCTGTCTCTCTCAGTGCCGGTTGAAGCCTGTAGCAGAGCCTTTCCTTCCCCAATCAGCGGGACTGTGAATAACTAGAACGGACTGTATCTACTTACTTTTTTGACTACAAGACCCCCCAGACTATGCGCCACAAATATAATTGGCCGTACTTGTTCCTGAACAAGGATTTGAGCTTAACCCTCTAAGACACACCTCCGGAGTCTAAATACATTACGAAATCTCCTAGCATTTTTTACCGCGTCTAGCAGACTACACGCAAATTCGTCAATTCCTGCAGTTGAGCTCGACGCAAGCAATCTTGTATCATATCCGTAGGTAAGAACGCGCGTCTTTCCGGGCTGCCGGTATTCAAGGTCGTTAACAAGAAAGTCCCTCACCCACATCGTGTGTTCACCCCTCGCTTTCCACGATCCGAACGCATGACCGGCAAGACCGGTAACGAAAACAAGACTAACAACGATACCAGTGAAACGGTTAATGGGGATTTTCATATGTAAATCAATCTCGGACGGGATGTATTACTCAACTTGATAATCACCATTGCTCCCCTGAAGAGGAGTCAATCCAATAAAGTGGGAGTCAAACACTAACTTTGTTGTCGTCGAATCGATTCTGGCTGTTAAAGATACCCACTCCTCACTTCCACCACATGCTTGAAGCTGTGTAGGTATGGACTCAAAGGTCACAGTTGCAATCTGGTATCTTCCACTGTCCATAGGTGAAGGAGCAATTGAACACTCCGAGACCCGTCCAGGAATCGCAGGCTGTCCGTGACAAGATGTTTGAGAGAATAGCAGGTCGAGAATGGATAGTAATTTTGGTTTCGAGACGGTTACTGGAATCTTACTTATACGGAAGGTTGTCCTTCGGTCCCTCTCAATAGCAATAGAGTCACTCTTGGGAGGTCGGGTGTTTAGAAGCGTGTTTTCGTGGTTTAATTCTAAGAATGAAATCGGGTTTCTCGTCATAATACGCTTCTGAAATGATGTTTATCTGGTTTGAGAGGAAATACGGGTAATGTAGCTGCAATACCGATGTATCTGGGAATGCTCATGAAGGCGATTCCCCGCCGATTTGAGGCTGGCGACGTGGACAACCCTGGATATCTTTAAGTGCACTTTAGTACCTGCGGTTTACTAGACGTTTAACTACATATACATGCCCGCACACACGCATTTCGGGGTCCTTCCGTCTTGAGCTATATTTCAATTCTTCCGACGAGACGGTAGTGCCAGGCCAACCTTGCGCGCACAAGCTCCAAGCGCTACCACAGTTCATTCTGGGCGTGATAACCATCAGATATCAACGATGCCTCACCATTAGCTATGCCTTCACACCAGTCAGCTTTACAGGACACAATGTACATTTTGAGATAGGGTACGGCGTACACGTACATCCTCATTCATGTCAATTTTGCTAGCTATCTATAGCAGGTACCACAGGAAGATTAAGGACTTGGCGCAAGCTCCGCTTGCCCTCGATTCAACTGATTAATTCTCGCCAGGAGTGTGGTTATCAATGGTAATGTATTTGTGATAACCGATATTACCGCGACTTCGAAAAGGAAAACTTAAGATATGACAGATTCACCTGATGGGTAAATGTGTGGGATGTCTCGAGTGAGGTCCAGAAGGACGCCCCCTGTCAAACTTAATTCTGACAACGTTTCCTGACTTCAGGCTACATATAGTCGCGCGTCTTCACCAAGGATACTTTACCAGACCTCGCTCTTCTATGAAACCCCCAAACTAGTGTTCACATGGAGTATTCTTGACAAAGACGCGCGAGCAGTCTTGTGGGCCGCTAATACCGTGGCCTGCGCACTGGATTGTCAGCACAACGCTATTTCGCATTAACCATTTACCACCCTTCTACCCACGATGCTGTCGTTATGATGATACAGAATCGATTGGGTTTGATGCAATGAGTGGTGTGCACAATCCATGAGTCTATACATGTATATGTATACCTCTCTCGAACGGCCTACGTCAACACTAAATCATTTTGATATATAGGAATCGCACCTCCTTTACAAAATGGAAAACGATCATAAAAACAGTTTTGCATGATTAGCTCACTATGCGCACAATTCTTTAAATAGATCAGCAATCGAGCGAGTGATATTTCATGATACACCCCCGACAGGTCGCTCTGGCCTCGATTCGAGAGAAGTGTACATCATATCCATATCATAGTTTTCTTCTCTCCACATACGATTCAGTTAGGTTACAAAGGTATGCGGTTAACTCTAACATTGGCTTCATATCAGATCCAGTTTCAAGGCGAGTATTGGCCCAGCCAAGAGGATAAATGTTAATGACAATCATTACTGTAGACAGGCACGGCAAGATTGGTACATCTACCATTATCGCGCTCAGCTCTCCACCCGCACTCCCCCTCAATCACTGACTTAGAAGTGCTTCCTACGGTATTTCCGAGAAACGTGAGAATGCGCACGACGTTACTAGGACTGGTTGGTAAAGTCTTTGAGTAATGCCGTTCTACTACCAAAGCCTGCTACCGTACAATCAGCTAATCAAATTAGAGTTTTGTTTGCAGCATTGTTCCCTCGTCCCTTCATCTGCGTTATCGGAAGATCACTTCACAGCCATCCGGGGAACACCCCGGTAGGACAGATATCCTTGAACTCGCAATGCATGTCAGAGATCTTTACCACGATTAGGCGATGAACCCTACCTACAACATCACGTTAGAACATCCACTGAACGCTCTTCGCTAAGCACTACGGTAGAAGTAGATTACCGTAGTTACGCCGTTCTCCCTCATTCTTCATTCTTTAAGCTTATGACCTGAGAAAAGAAAGGAAAATAATTCACCTAGCCCCACTTTGTTTAATCCCGTATTGATTGCGTACTTGGCTAACTTCTTCTGTATGTCCAGAATAGATATATAATGAAAGTCTAAAGTCAGATTACTGCCCAGGTACAGCGCCCGTACGGTATACAATTCTTTCAAAAGCGCTAAAGCTATATGCATTACTAGGATACCTCCACACCCGCCACACCATCCCGGGAATGGCAACTGACAACCGCATGACAAGAGTCAAAATACAAATTAGTCTTTGGTAAACTCGGAGGTGCGTTCAGGCCAATCACCTAGCACGCACGAAACACCCGAAAATCGTGATGTTATCATCGAGATATCACAAAAGATATAGCGTCTCGACAGATAGATCCCTTCTTAATTTACAAATAAATACGTAACCCTCATCGAGCGGCGAAGTGCTTCTATTTGTTGCCATGAGTATTGGCCCACCTATCTACAGAGGATTACGACGTGGCGGTCACTCTCGTTTAATTTAACCTTGAGACGCCAAGGCGAAATTACTACAAGCATAGCCGTCAGGCAGAATCCGCAGGTGAGAGCGTGTGTTTTATAAGGCACATGCACAGTGTGTTAGCGCTGTCTTACCTCGCTAGGCGCCAGGAGGCTCAACTTTTGCGCTACATGTTTGGCTGCCAAGAATAAACCATTGCGGGATCGATCCTTGAGCCAATCAAATCGCCGCCCTCTTAATGCGCATGTCCCACGCAGAGAACGCCCCCACCAAAGGCTGTCGAGCCTCATCACGAACGTTGGAGGCTCTTGACCCCGAATTGCGAAGGGGACGCCGCCCAAACACCCCCGAGTTACATGTAACTACATACATATAACCGCTAATACATACTTAGTAGATACGGCTACATATATCGGAACGCTCTGTCAGCATGAAAAATAAGCACTTCTCAAGCTCGATATTAATACATATAGTGTGTACAATGTTCTACAAATTATCGTCATTTGAAAAGTCTATTTTTCGATTTAACTCGGTTCTGGTATCTCTAACAATCGATCGTGACCACGATTCGACAAAATAGAAATCGATTCACAAATATTCCAAATTCTATATAGCTATATTGGTGTAGGGTTTGTTTTCGAGGCCAGCCATTGGTGGTCGGCTTTGATTTAGGGTGCAAATCGACTTAAAGCGAACCACATGCATTGCAAACCACATTGCGAACCACATTGGGAACCACATTGCGAACCACGGATCCAAGACGCACCGCAAGAATCATCAGGCGACTGATATCACGTGATTTGAGATTACAAGTGATACCTTGCGAAGGTATGTGGAAAACTTGGGGTTGTCGGCTAGTTTGTTGTATCGCAAACTTATTGTCCTACGAATAAGTGACATTCACAGTGTCGTATAATCGATTATCATTACTTCTCGAAACCTTGGACATAATTCTTTGATATACCTCCGAAGCCTACATCCGACGCCCATATCCGACCACACAAAACACATCACAAAGAGATACCGGACGCTATCAGGATTCCCTGATAAGGTAAAGAAGGACAGAAAATGGTTGCTCGATTTGGGACTATCATGCTGTACTAACTCTAGCTTCCTAGATCCACATGAATAAAAGAACGTTATTCAAAAAGACTAATGCCACAGAAGGCTATCTGAATTTTATTCTAGACATGTGTGCCAATAATCCTGGAGGCACTTGAGAGTCACATATTTGTCCGACATGAATTTTTAACAAAAGGCTCTCCGTTGGTAAAGTATTCCCTCCTCAGCCTTGGAACACATCAGGTCGGGAATACCTGCGCCTGAAACACCGGCCGCTAATCTCATGCTTTATATAGTTTGGGCGTCCAAGGGCAGACATTGGTGTTTCTATGTTTGAGAATTTAAAGGTTAAATCAACGTATCAGTAATTACGTGAGCTTCTTTGGACGCCGGCGTTTTTACATACTTGTAACTACAACCATATTTATGCTAGGATCGGAAACTAGCCACACCCAAGAACGAGTGATATCTCATTATTGCATTACCACTACTGCAAAGCTACCCATTTTCTATCCAAAGCGATAATAGACCAGTTGTTGGACAGGCGGTACAGGTAAATCCAATATTTTATAATGGACTTGATCT